CACACAAAGGCGCCCAGCATATTTTACAAGCTGCTGGGTCCGGGACCTGAACCGCGGAGTTGGCTGTGCACGATCCAGAGCCTTAACCACCATGCCACCTGCCTGCCCCCATACTCTCCAGTTCTTAACCTTTGGCCCATGCCCTCTGGTACTCTGAGCTGGGCAGTACCTTGTCTATACCATAGTCCATTTCTCTTTTCGCCGTAGGGGCTTCTTTCCCATCAGCCGGGAGGAAGGCGTGTTGCTCACTGCCCGGGACACGCTCACAGCTCTGGGTATTGTGCTCGAGGGTGGCAGAGAGCAGACACGGTTGCTCCCCTGAGGAGCCAGCACCCACGGTACGCACTGCGGGGGTGCTCGGGGATCAGAGCCAGCGGAGGTGCAGGGAGCGAGGGGGAGTGATTTGTGCTGAGCTGCTCAGGGAAGACCTCCTTTCACAAGGGGGCCCTGAGTATACCAGAGGGAAAAGCAATTCAGGTAGAGGGAACAGCCCGTCAGCAGGCCTCAGGTAGGAATGTGGTGAGCCGGAGGAAGAGTGAAGACGAGATGGAAAGGGCCTGGTGCCATCAGGAGGGCCTTGCAGGTGGTGGTAAAGGCCCTGGGTAGACCCAGACCGCCCCGCCTTGGAGGGAGCTGGCTTGGGAGCTGATACGACGTGCCCCGTCTTTCAGGCGAGGAACTGGCACTGAGAGGCCACCCGGTAAGAAAAGGCAGACCCCAGGTGTGTGCAGCTGACTTACTCCACAGGTCACTGCCGGGGTACGGAGTCCCTGCCCTCTTCCCAGGAGCTCAGTGCCAGCACCCCAAAGGCTGGTGGAGGGAGGGGAAGGGTCCAACCTTCTGCAGGTCCCATTGACACGCGGGCACAGACCGTAGGCACCCCCGACCAAAGGCCGTGGCCATGCCGGGGCTGGCTGGGAGCTGCAGTAAAGGACCCCGGGGTCCCCACAGTGGGCAGGGTGGCCGTGGCTGAGTGCCGTGCCAGCTGGACCCAAGGAAGTGCTGACAGGACACAATGTACGGCTCCACACCCCGCCCACTGTCAATGAATCAATCGACTCACTCAGCTGAAAAATTAACTCAAACCCACAGGCATCCCTTAACCCACAGAAGGTCGCACCGGGAGGTGCACGTCTGGGGCTGAGGCCCAGGGTCACTGCCATCCTTACCCCAGCCCCGGGGGCAGATCCCCACCTCTCTTGGCAAGCAACAGGTCCTCAATCCCAGAGAGCCCAGGCCCTCCCCAGGGCCTCTGTTGAGCCTGCCTCTCTGTCTTCCCTCCCCTGGCTACCCTTCTTTGGCCCATGGCTCAGGCTTGCTGTCATTCCTGGGATTTATTTGCCAAATTATAATTGTGCTCTTAGGTCGTTCGAGGCCTGGCTGGGGCCACAGAGGGCCAACAACGACCAATACAGAGACTCTGCCCTTAGCAGCGTAGGGGAGGCTGAGAGGCAGCCGGGTGTCAAGGGCACTCTAAGAGCAAGCTGAGGATTGAGTGTGAGCTCCAGAGAGAGGACTGTTTCCGTCACCGAGGCTCCCGCCACCCCTGGCAGAGTGCCCGGCACTAAGCAGGTGCTCAGGGAACACCTGCCCAGTGAATGACCACAGGAGGGTACTGGCTAGTGCTGGGCGGAGATGGAGCTAGCCCCGGCCTCCAGCTGCATGTGGCGAGCACCCGGAGAGCTTCCCTGTCTGTAACTCGGTCCCACCCTGAGGTCCGGGCTGGATTGCCCGGGAGCCCTTGGCTGGAGCGTCGGAACCTCCCCAGGGGGCTCTAGCTGCAGCCTGGGCTGGAGCTGCGGCTCTTGGACCT